CACTGTAAGGATTCTTAAGCCAGCCATAGATGAGTTAAAAACTGGACAATTTGTGTTGATCGTCAAATCGTTCATTTTTCACACCATTAGTGTGACAGCTGCGATACGTGATTTTCATGCCACAATCAAAAGTGCCTGATCCAACATGCTGGTTTTTTTTTTTTAGAAAAATTAAATGATAGCACAATCATATGAGCTATTTTTGTTTTTTCAGTTGTCAGAACATTTGGTTTTCTACTCATCTATGGCCAGCTTTAGGCATACACATGAGAGATATTGTCAGAGGGAGCAGGCAACAATCTTGTGTTTATGGGCCCTATGTACAACTGCCATCAACCAGAGCAAACAGTTATTCAAGTGAGTTAGGACACCTGTCCTTTCACTATTGTCCTTTTCTGAAATAAAAGACTCTGGCCGCACCTGCCAGGGCTATTTTTTATGTACCCTTGCCACTTTAGTAACATTAGCCACTTGAGTGCATTAAACAGTACAGGTACAGCAGCTATTTGGCCCATCATCATTTAAAAATGGCACCAGGAATCAGGAGATCTGGAGGGTTGCAGCAAGGATCCAGGCTAGAACCACACTTCTTTCTAGTATTAAGGGTTTACAGGACTTTAGTAGCTCTGTTCCCTGTCTTCCTGCTGCAGTAGACTACTGTTATAGTGATCTATTGGTGGACAGAATGCAGCCCACAGTAGATCACTAATAGGAATGTGGGCTGGTAGGCTTATGCATTCAGATGTGGATAAACACCCCCTCTGGATGCAGCAGCACCCTGTGCTATGGCCACATACAAACTGGTCTTGTATTAACCTGTGGGCTGTAGCTGCACAGCTTCGTGGGGGGGGGGGGGGCTACATAAGGTGTAAAAGACAGTGTAAGAGAAATAGAAAAACATTATATACAGTTGTGCTCAAAAGTTTACATACCCTGACAGAAATTGTGAAATTTTGGCATTGATATTGCAAATATGACTGATCGTGCCAAAAAATGCCCTTTTATTGAAGGACAATGATCATATGAAGCCATTTTTTATCAAATAGTTTTTTGGCTCCTTTTTAAATCATAATGATAACAGAAATCACCCGAATGGCCCGGATAAAAAGTTTACATACCCTGGAATATTTGCCCTTGGTACAGACACACAGGGTGACACACATGGGTTAAAATGCCAATTAGAGGTTAATGTCCCACATCTGTGGCTTTTTAAATTGCAATTAGTGTCAGAGTATAAATAGTCAATGAGTTTGTTAGCTCTTATGTGGAAGCACTGCCTAGGCTAGAAACTGAGCCATGGGGATCAGAAAAGGACTGTCAAAAGTCCTGCGTAACAAGGTAATGGGACTTTATAAAGATGGAAAAGGACATATAAAGATGTCCAAAGCCTTGAATATGCCAATCAGTACTGTTAAATCACCTATTAAGAAGTGGAAAGTTCAGGGATCTCTTGATACCAAGACAAGGTCAGGTAGACCAAGAAAGATTACAGCCATAACTGACAGAAAAATTGTCTGGGATTCAAAGAAAAACCCACAGGCAACCTCAAAAGATATACAGGCTGCTCTGGAAAAAGATGGTGAGGTTGTTTTTAAGAAGCACAATACGGTGACACTTGAACAAAAATGAGCTGGTTGGTCGAAGTGCCAGAAATAAGCTTTCACTGCACCAATGCCACAAAAAAGCAGGCCTTTTTGTGTCATTGATGCAGTAAAGGCTTCTTTCTGGCACCTCGACCATGCAGCTCATTTTTGTTCAAGTGTCATCATATTGTGCTCCTTCAAAACAACCACACTGTCTTTTTCCAGAGCAGCCTGTATTTTTCTTGTGGTTACCTATGGGTTTCCCTTTGTATCCCTAATAATTATTCTGGCAGTTGTGGCTGCAATCTTTCTTGGTCTACCTGACCTTGGCTTGGTATCAAGAGATCCCTGAATTTTGTACTTCTTAATAGGTGATTTAACAGTACTGATTGAAATAGTCAAGGCTTTGGACATCTTTTTATGTCCTTTTCCATCTTTATAAAGTTCCATTACCTTGTTACACAGTTCTTTTCTGATCCCCATGGCTCAGTATCTAGCCCAGTCAGTGCTTCCATGTAAGAGCTAACAAACTCATTGACTATTTATACACTGACACTAATTGCAATTTAAAAAGCCACAGATCTGGGGCATTAACCTCTAAATGGCATTTTAACCCGTGTGTGTCACCTTGTGTGTCTGTACCAAGGCCAAACATTCCAGGGTATGTAAACTTTTGATCCGGGCCGATTGGGTGATTTCTGTTATCATTATCATTTAGAAAGGAGCCAAACAACTATTTGATAATAAATGGCTTCATATGACCATCATCCTTCAATCAAAGAGCATTTTTTGGCATGATAAGTCATATTTTCAATATCAATACCAAAATTTCACCATTTCTGCCAGGGTATGTAAACTTTTGAGCACAACTGTGTTGTGCTCACATCTGCTACTGAGAATGACCAAGGGCTCCCTAAGCTGTTCAGAGGCTTTCACTCCTAATTACCAGCTCCAGGCACCTCAATAAACACAGGCTTATCTCAATTTAGGGGTACTTTTTTGTAGATTTATTACAGTAATAAAGCAGGAGAGAGGGATAAGGGTCACGGGTACTCCAAAATGCCAAAACAGGTACAGGAGGACAGGTTCCCAAGCACAAATCCTTCAGCAGCAGCCTTTGCTGGAGGTGGAAAGGATAGCCAGTTAATCTGTATTATCAGTGCCAGTCCCGACAGCAATCTCTGGCATTAAAACAGAAGTATGGGTTTACATTAAAAAAAAAAAAACATTTATACTCATCTAGGTGGATGCAGCATCGGTCCAATGCTGTACCTTTCTTCCACCAATTTATAGACTGAAAACTGAGCACTGATCGGTCAGTTCTTAGTCTTTAGTGAGCAGAGAGTCGCTGAGCAGCTAAGTCAGCTGTCGGTCCAGGAATCTGGTTTGTCCTGCACTCCTGTGATCTGTTTTCAGCTGACAGCAGGCTAAAGCCCACTGTTGGCTGACATCACTGAGCCGATACAGGCTTGGAAAAGATCCAAACTTTACAGTTGGGATTCACCCAGCAAGCCACTGGGAGACTGAGCCAGCTGCTCCCGCCCCCTCCAAAAGCTGGCACTTCAGTGAGCATTGGAGAGGCAAAGCACAGAGCTGGTGACTGACAGTCACCGACTCTCTGATCACTAAAGACTGAGAACTGAGTGATCATTGGTCTTTGATTCTCAATTCTAAGAAGTGGTGGAAGAAAAGATGCAGCGCTGGATCCCCAGGAGAAGTAGCGTCCATAATAGCTTTGGCTATACTTTAACTCCTTTAACCCCCATAAAACATGCACACCTGGAATCTTAAGCCAAGATCCTACTTGCAATGTCCAAGGACAGCTGTCAAGCACCAAGCACATGCTAAAACTAACAACAGTTCTTCAGTACACTGGCTGCCTCCCAGGAGGCAGCAGCCCCAGGAGAATCACACTTCTGAACATGTTACCTAAACATTTATCTTATTCCCGGCCACCTCCTGGGCACCCCCATAAGAGATTGGCTGAGGTCATATATTTATTCCTAGCTCAGTGGCTGACCCTCCTACTCTCTTTCTGAAAAGACAGGAGCAATAAGCCACCAAGCACAGGGAAACCTGAGTACAGTAGAGCCAAAAACTAAATTTAGCCTGCGTAGGGTAGAGCGCTGCATCTTTATGTGTGTGTGTGTGTCTTTCCAGATTAATCTCCAGATCCCAACAATGACATTAGATGATCAGGATGAAATATACGTTAAAACATCAAATGCTCATGTGAATGCAATATGATTTGCATTTTTAGCATTCACAGATCTGTGAAAAGTCGCCCTCATGCGAATTTGTGCCCTAGCCAACCCAAGGTACTGTATTTTGGTCATATGGTACCAATTTATGCAAACTTATTAGTGTTGAAATAAAGCTCTCCTGAAATAACATGCAGATGTTTGCAAGTCAAGTCTTTAGTGGTACTTTCCGATCCTTTTGCCTGAGAGTGGTTAGGTCATATACATCTACTTGTGCTTGGAGATCAATGAAGATTAGCACAAGAAGAATATCTCTTTAATTTGGTTGTAGATATAAGGTGGTAGCTGATCAGGTATGATATAACTGCTATGTAAACTTCCCTTTTTAAAGTCATCAGTGAATGGCCATGCATGGTCAAGCATTTGTGTTCATGCACCGTGGGCAAAATGATTAGACTGCCATTGTCAGCTGTACCTCATGTGAGCAATCAGAGACTGTACAGGAAAATTCAATCAGGATGATTGACTAGTTTCCTGTAAACAATCATCCACCAAGTAGCAAGCTATTTGTAGGCGTAGCAGTTTTTATTTTCAGCCAATCCAGCCCAAATTGGTTGAACGGGGCAACAACTGTGTAATGCCTATGAGTATTTTAACACATGCTGGCTCATATCTCAAAAAAGTATGTACGGGCTTTAAATTGAAATGCCAATATTAATGTCTGCACTTAAAGTTCTAAGCAATGCTGCTTTAAGGCAACTATTAGACATGTGCATTCCATTTTGATAAATTTTTTGGGTGTAAATGTCATTTTTGGAGATTCGTATGTACACTATATTGCCAAAAGTATTGGGACACCTGCCTTTACACACACATGAACTTTAATGGCATCCCAGTCTTAGTCCGTAGGGTTCGATATTAAATTGGGCCCACCCTTTGCAGCTATAACAGCTTCAACTCTTCTGGGAAAGCTGTCCATAAGGTTTAGGAGTGTGTTTATGGGAATGTTTGACCATTCTTCCAGAAGCGCATTTGTGAGGTCAGGCACCGATGTCGGATGAGAAGGCCTGGCTCGCGTCTCTGCTCTAATTCATCCCAAAGGTGGTGTTCTATCCGGTTGAGGTGCAGGCCAATCAAATTCATCCACCCCAAACTCGCTCATCCATGTCTTTATGGACCTTGTTTTATGCAGTGGTGCGCAGTTATGTTGGAACAGGAAAGGGCCATCCCCAAACTGTTCCCACAAAGTTGGGAGCATGAAATTGTCCAAAATGTCTTGGTATGCTGATGCTTAAAGTGACACTAAAGGTTAATTTTTTTTGTAAAATAACACATTTTCTTTTTTGTAAAATAACAAACATGTCTATACTTACCTGCTGTGTACAATGGTTTTTCACAGAGCAGCCTGGATCCTCTTCTTCTCAGGTTCCCCGCAGGTTCTCCTGGCTCCTTCTTTCTGTAGGGTGCCCCCATAGCAAGCAGCATGCTATGGGGGCACCCGCTGCTCCGTGTGTTCATTCACGCATCTTGACCCCGCCCCCTCACTCTCATGAGCTAGCTGGCTGTGATTGACAGCAGCAGGAGCCAATGGCTCCCGCTTACTGTCTCAGTCAATGAAGAGGCAGAGACCTGGGACAGCCAGGCTGTCATGCACATTGCTGGATCTCGATCGGGCTCAGGTAAGTATTGAGGAGGCTGGGGACACTGCTGCACATTCTAGGCATGAAGGTAAAAAACTTTTACAACCACTTTAACTAAAGGTCCACTGGAACTAAGGGTCCAAGCCCAACTCCTGAACAACAACCCCACACCATAATCCCCCTCCACCAAACTTGGCACAATGCAGTCAGGCAAAGTACTGTTCTCCTGCCAACCACCAAAACCAGACGCATCCATCAGATTGCCAGACAGAGAAGCGTGATTTATCACTCCAGAGAACACGTCTCCACTGCTGTAGAGTCCAGTGGCGGCGTGCTTTACGCCACTGCGTCCGATGTTTTACATTGCACTTGGTGATGTAAGGCTTACGTGCAGCTGCTCGGCCATGGAAACCCATTCTATGAGGCTCTTTACACACTGTTGTTGTGCTAATATGAAGGCAACATGAAGTTTGGAGGTCTTTAGCTATCGACTCTGCAGATAGTTGCCGAATTCTGCACACTGTGTGCATCAGCATGCACTGACCCCCCACTCTGTCATTTTACGTGGCCTACCACTTGGTGGCTGAGTTGCTGTTGTTCCCAGTTGCTTCCACTTTGTTATAATACCACTAACAGTTGACCATGGAATATTTAGTAGCAAGGAAATTTCACAGGATGGACTTATTGCACAGGTGGCAACCTATCATGGTACCACGCTTGAATTCACTGAGCTGCTGAGAGTGACCCATTCTTTCAAAAATGTCTGTAGAAGCAGTCTGCATGCCTAGGTGCTTGATATTATAAAACCTGTGGCCATGGAGGTGATTGAAATAACTGATTCCAATGATCTCCTAGATTGTAAGCTCGAAAGAGCAGGGCCCTCGATCCCCTCATGTTTTGCATTGTATTGGTATTGTTCTGTCATATGTTCTGTTCCCCTCTGTAATGTACAGCGCTGAGCGAACTATTGGCACTTTATAAATACTGTATAATAATAATTAGAGATGAGCGAATTATTCAAAAATTCGATTCGGCTGATTCGCCGAATTTGAGGAAGAAATTCGATTCGATGCGAATTAATTCGCTACGAATTTAACTTATTAAAAGGGTTTCTAGGCTAGAAGAAGGAGAAGGAGAAGGATGAGAAGAAGGAGAAGGAGAAGGATGAGAAGAAAGGAGAAGATGAGAAGAAGGAGGAAGGAGAAGGAGAAGGAGAAGGATGAGAAGAAGGAGAAGGAGAAGGATGAGAAGAAGGAGAAGGATGAGAAGAAGGAGAAGGAGAAGGATGAGAAGAAGGAGAAGGAGAAGATGAGAAGAAGGAGAAGGATGAGAAGAAGGAGAAGGAGAAGGATGAGAAGAAGGAGAAGGATGAGAAGAAGGAGAAGGATGAGAAGAAGGAGAAGAGAAGGATGAGAAGAAGGAGAAGGATGAGAAGAAGGAGAAGGATGAGAAGAAGGAGAAGGATGAGAAGAAGGAGAAGGATGAGAAGAAGGATGAGAAGAAGGGAGAAGGATGAGAAGAAGAAGGATGAGAAGAAGGAGAAGGGATGAGAAGAAGGAGAAGGTATGAGAAGAAGGAGAAGGATGAGAAGAAGGATTGAAAGAAGGAGAAGAGGATGAGAAAAGGATGGAAGAAGAAGGAGAAGGATGAGAAGAAGGAGAAGGATGAGAAAGAAGGAGAAGGATGAGGAGAAGGAGAAGGAGAAGGATGAGAAGAAGGAGAAGGAGAAGGATGAGAAGATGGGAGAAGGATGAGAAGAAGGAGAAGGAGAAGGATGAGAAGAAGGAGGAAGGAGAAGGATGAGAAGAAGGAGAAGGATGAGAAGAAGGAGAAGGATGAAGAAGAAGGAGAAGGATGAGAAGAAGGAGAAGGATGAGAAGAAGGAGAAGGATGAGAAGAAGGAGAAGGAGAAGGATGAGAAGAAGGAGAAGGATGAGAAGAAGGAGAAGGATGAGAAGAAGGAGAAGGATGAGAAGAAGGAGAAGGATGAGAAGAAGGAGAAGGATGAGAAGAAGGATGAGAAGAAGGATGAGAAGAAGGAGAAAGGTATGAGAAGAAGGAGAAGGAGAAGGATGAGAAGAAGGAGAAGGAAACAAATAGATACAATGTTTTA